AGTCCCCAGGTCCGTGGTGGAGGGGGGGGGGGGGGGGTGATAGCTACCTATCCAGGCTGGAAAGGGGTCCTTGTCCAGTAGGTGTTGTCCAGAAGGTGGAGGGGGGTGGGGGGGAGTCGCCAGTAGGGCCTCTGGGTGGATAGGTGGTGTGGCATGGTGCTGGTCTAGATGGAGAGGGCGTCCTACTGGGTCGGTCTTCACTGCCCCTTTTTATAGGGGCAGACCTTGTGTGACCCTAGTGACAGGAGGCATGCCCAGGCAGGGGTCAGCCCCTGGTGTACTGAGCACGGGTGCTCCATGCAGGGATGTGCAGTTTTGGGTGTCTGTAATGATGGGGTACAATGGTAGAGTTGCTGGTTCTGCAGGGTCTTTTGTCTTTCAAATGCTGGGTTCTTGTCACTGTTCCTGGGTGAGGTCTGAGGTTCCTGGATGAATCAATGCAAGGTGATGGCCCAGTCATTACAGGCCATTCAGTAGAGGTCTGCTACCATTGGGAACGACTGAAATACAATTAATCACTCATATTCATCTTGGAACTAATTTACATGGGAGGGGTACATGACTCACAGTTGCAACAGGGGATGCCTGGGCAGAGGACATAAGATGGAGACTTGACATTACTTTGGTTCACTTACAAACACAGGCCTAAACCATACAAGATCCATATGAAACAATAAAAAAAAAAAATAAAAATCAATACAAGCCTAATAATAATACAATATAAAACAGTGGATATCCAAAACCAAAAACTTGCTACCAAAATAAAAATGTTAAAGCTTATCCTAAGTCTGAGCTCGCTTATGCTTGTCTATCGGGAATAGAGAGGGAGAGAAAGAAAAGCCAGAAATAATTGGAGAAGGGAATGCATATCTATTCTCTCTCATTTTTATATTGTATATAATGAAAACTGGGGTTTTGCTACATATTCACCACCCCCCCACATTTATACCCCAATTTCTGTTCTGCACTGGTATATATTACCAGTCTTATCAGCACTCAGATTAATTTAGTGGCCAGCCAAGTTGATCATGAGTAGGAGCCAGGCTCCTCCTGGTCCATCTCATCAGACAAACCAACGCTCCAGGATGACGTGCAGAACCAGACCTAGAAATCGATACGTCTCGCCCCATCTTTTATACCCTTGTCAATTCACCCAGTTCTTTGGACTTTTGTTGTGTTATCAGTGTGTTCTTCCTTGAAGGTTGATTGCCGTTGTTCTCTCAGTGTTTTGGGATGGATTCTTCTTGTTTGGTCTTTTACCTGTCTGCATTGTTCAGCCAGTTGCCAGCTGATGTTTTCCTTTTCCGCAGACACACTCACCCATTCAGCATATAAAGGTTGAGCACTTATGTCAAGCTACAGGGCAATGCAAAATGGAGTTCCTTAAGGCAATGCAAACTCAAGAAAATACATAAGATTAAAAACAATAGGCAAAAAGTCTATTTGTATAACATTCCCTTCCTTGATCCTTCAAAACGTTGTTTTGAATGGATCACTCTATACTTTTTGCAAGGCTATATGTTGTAAAGCAGTTAAGCCATGTGATTTCAATTTAATACATTTGTGTCATCCAACAACACATCAATCGTATTATTCCAGTTAGTGTAGAAAAGATGATAATAGAATGTAACATGACATTTAGGACCGCCATCCATGATGGTGACCATCCCTAGATAATATCATCATTTGTCTAGCTTGTTCAAATACTCTCAGAATTTCTGAACTTTGGTGTAAAATAGTTATGATACACAGTTGATTTTGTTCTCGTGTTGTAGTAGTAAGATGGCTAATTTGTGAATTCTTTTGTAACCAGTAATTGAAGGTAGTCCAATTGATTTCTAAAGGGAAATGGAAGTCAATTAAATTATTCCATCTCCAGGGATGATTTCCTTTAAGATGCTTGCACAATCCAAAATGCTCAAAAAGAAAAAAAAGTAACAAAAGTGTAACAATATGCTGATAAATCTTAACAAAGCAATAAGCAAAGCTAAGTCAAAATATCCAGGGTTTGTGCTAGGCAGTTTCCAGCAGCATGTGCAGCTTCTATATATGCATGTTAAATAATTGGACATGTTCAATTCATGACACACACACACACACATCAAAAATAGAAGAACACAACAACAAATACAGGTTGACACTGGTTCACCTTCATCAGTGTTTAACAGTCACTGGTCTTCTAGTCCAGTGTCATTGGGCATCCTGTGGCTTTCAAATAAATTTAAATACATTACATTTCATACACCATTGAATAACTTTAACTGAAAAGTATGTACCCATTTTGATTCTTCTCCCCAATTGTATTTCACATACCACTGGACTAAGACAGTTAATTGTAGGCACCAATCCACTCTACTTGGAATCCAAAGTATGTTTTTTCTTACCTGGTTATAAATACATAACTTGATCATCAATTTCCCATAAAAATGGGTTGCCAATCTCTTCTTTCTGTATTTTCTCCTGCATTTGTTGAATGGCTTCCTTCATTCGTATTTGAAGGGTTACCTTGTTCTCTTTTTAATTGTGCTAATCATTTATACACGTCGTAGTTAGTGGTATCTCCCACATCATTAAACTGATCCACATCCATCACCAGCTTCATGGGCTGTTCAAATACATTTTGATAAGTTTATATATATTGTTCATAAACAGTTTAGAGTTACAAATAGATTTAATTAATAAATTACCTTTAACTTACTCCACAGGCCTCCCCTCCTTTGAAATAATGATTGGAACC